AACATCTCTTCATTAATTCCTACATTCTTCAAAGAAAACAAAATTCGTTTTTTTTTTTTGTTAATTAGAGAGAATCGTATTTTAAGCACAAACTCATTTTACTGGAACTTACAAAATAATGGAGAAACACTGCAGAAGGCCTACTGGTTCATATTGGGACATGTCTATCTTTCCTTGTGATGAATGGTTTGAAAAACCGACAAGTTGAAGATTGAGACACTTATGCAGCATATGGGTTATGCAGCATATGTGTTCAGTCCATCAATCTTGGACTGAACACATCGACTCCAGGCTGAGGGACTGATTACCTCATACTCCTCCTCTCCTTACGCCTTCCTCTTTGTACTGGACTGATAAAGCCACTGTGTGGCGAAAGGTTTCCTGAATAAAGATTCCCATATGCTGCATAAGTGTCTAAATCTTCTATCTTTCCTTGTTAGTTTTTATGTTCATTTATCAGTGTAACTCTTCAAAATAATGACTTGAACTGATTTTACATAAAAAAGTATTGTGTACTCTTTAGATTTTTTTTTATGTCTGAATTAATTGTCCCAAATAAAACTATAGCTTTCCAGAATTTTCTTTTACTGAGAGTTGAACTTAGCCTTGTAGTTATCCATAACATTACATGTGTTCCACACTCTGTGAATACTGTATAATAATGATAGTAATAACAGATTACATATTTTCATTTGTTTTGCAGGTCATCCTGACACCTGAGGCTGGCTCCTGTTCTCTCAATACTTCAGGTATCCTGACGCAATATTCTGGTACTTGTAGTTGCAATACTGCACTTGTACTCGTAGTGCAAGTATCACTGTTACAAATCTAAAGGTTCTCTAAATGCTTTATATGCAGTGTTAATATAGTGACTATACTAAAAACATATTTAAGTAAATTAATATTCGACAATATCATTACTCATTATGTTTAAAACACCTGAAAAGCTGTGTTTTGAGGCAATACAATGTAGAGGTGTTGATCAACATTCACACTCACTACAGCAATCTTCTTCTCAACAACCTCAGTTTGTATCTCTGACCAGAGTTATTAAAGACTGTAGAACACTCCAGTGTTCATTGTGTCTAGAAGAGTTTTCTGATAATTGTAATTTACTAAAACACATGAGAACTCACACCGGGGAGAAACCATATCAGTGTTCAGTGTGTCTGAAAAACTTTTCTAAAAAGTGTAATTTAAAAAGGCACTTGATACTGCATACTGGAGAGAAACCATATCAGTGTTATCAATGTCCGAAAGACTTTTCACAAAGGTATGAATTAGTATATCACATGCGAACTCATACTGGAGAGAAACCATATCAGTGTTCAGTGTGTCTGAAAAACTATACTCAAAAATGTACTTTAAAAAGGCACTTGGTAACACATACTGGAGAGAAACCATATCAGTGTTCACAGTGTCCGAAAGACTTTTCTGAAAAAGCAGTTTTAGTAAAACACATGAGAACTCATACTGGAGAGAAACCATATCAGTGTTCAGTGTGTCTAAAAGACTTTTCTCAGAAAATAGCTTTAGTAAGTCACATGAGAACACATACAGGAGAGAAACCGTTTCAGTGTTCAGTGTGTCTGAAAGACTTTTCTCAAAAATCTCATTTAGTAAATCACATGAGAACTCATACAGGAGAGAAACCATATAAGTGTTCAGAATGTTTGAATAACTTTTCTCGAAGATCAACATTAGTAAATCACATGAGAATTCATACTGGAAAGAAACCATATCAGTGTTCAGAATGTTTGAATAACTTCTCTCAAAAATCAAAGTTAGTAAACCACATGAGAACTCATACTGGAGAGAAACCATATCATTGTTTAGTGTGTCTAAAAGACTTTTCTCTTAAATTCTTATTAGTACGTCACATGAGAACTCACAATAGTAAGTTATGATTCATAAAATTATATCATTAAAATAAATAAATATAACAATATTTTTTCGGGTTTACTAAAGATGATCTGAATTATGAAATAATTTTTGAGTGTTTTTTTTCTGGCAGATCGTGGCACTGGGCCAGACTTGTTTGGCAGTGTTCTGTGTACAGAAAAAATGTTTTGGATGCAGCACAACTGGTGATATATATCAATAAACAATCCATTAATTCCTACCCACAGTTTTACTCTGCCACAATACCACCTTGATGGTCTTCCCGAATGTCATTTTTAAGATAAGTCTTTGTTTATTCTATATGATAGTGACATTCTTAAGTTAAGATCATAATTCTTAATTGGTAAATAAAACCTTGAGTATACTGAGAGAAGGTTTCGGGAGTAAACACCCCCACACCCTGCCTGAGATCAGGGCTCCTGGCGTATCAAGATCTGGTCAACCATGCTACTACCGCTGCCCACACATAAACCAATGTATGAACCACAGCCCAGCTGACCGGGTACTGACTTTATGTGCCTGCACAACGCCTTCTTGAAAACAGCCAGGGGTCTATTGGTAATCCCCCTTATGTATGCTGAGAGGCAGTGCCTTAGAGTTCTGAGAATATCATAGGTTATACTATCCTCTCCAGGAGCAGCTAATCGACCTTTAGTTAATGCATTATCTAATTCATAGTCGGTAAAGAGGCAATCACTCTCATCAATATTTTGGCTTATAATTATTACTATTATTATTATTATTATTATTATTATTATAATCAAAAAGAAGCGCTAAGCCACAAGGACTATACAGAAGATTAATCAGTTTTAACATTTCTTCAGAAGTACTCTCTAAGTTTTTCCTAATATGAGATGGAAGGTTTTCATGCCTGGATGTTTTGGACCAGTCATTTATGAGGTCATTTGCTTTTCCGAGCAGCATTGCCAGTCTTTTTCCTGGTTATTTTATTTATATCTTCCCAAGCCAAACTTGAAGGGGTGGACCTATTTAATCCACTAACAAATTGTTCCCATTCCTGTTGCCTAAGTTCTTGCTTTCTATTCCTTGCATTTGTTAGTGCAGCTTGGAAAGTTCTGAGCAGGTCTGGGGTTCTACATTCGCGGTATGTTTTACCAATCCTCCCAGCTGCTGCATGTGTTAGATTGTGTAGCTCTTGTTCATTGTAGCATTTACATTGGTTTGTATTGTTATTCATAGTGGAGGATCTATGTTTCCTATTCCTGCCCACTTGATTTGTGAGGACAGTCACAATAGTGGTAACTAAATCATCATTAAATTTTTGTGTGCCAGTGGGCTGGTAATTCTTATACCATTGATCCAAGTGGTTAATAAAGTTATCTCTGTGTTCTGGTTTGAGAATAAGTTTTCTCCTTCTGAATTTAGCTTCTTGATTGTTGGAGATGTGATTGTGGCAAATATTTTAATTTTCCAAAGCTGTAGTGCCTAATAGGTGTTTAATGTGTCGATATGGGTCAAAAATATATTTGAAATTAGGATAGAACCAAGAGTTCCCTTTGCGCCTGCGTGGATGTGCGGGGGGACAGGTCGACTCGGGGCATGGGGAAGGCGGGCGTGTTTTAAATTGAGGGAAGAGGCAGGGAAAGCATGGGACCAGGAAATTGGTGTTCACGGCGGTTTAAGGATTAATATAGGCCTCACTTCATAATAGAAAGTGTCATAACTGTTCCTGATGAAGAGTGAGGGAACGTGATTTATGGGACCACCGTAATAAAGTGGTAAAATTAGTGAATAATGGTGGGACCGGTGCTGACTGGCATGTCGCCATGGAGTGTCCCGGGGAAAATACCCATGATCTAATCCTCACTCATCTGTCTCAGATCTTAATGGAGTGTCCTCTAATGTGTATAATAATTATGAGACATTAAATCGTCTTGTGAATTGTAATGTAATCAGTGATAATAACACTAAGTTAAGGAATCGTTGAAGTGATATGAGCTGCCATTCCCAGAGTGTGTGTGCACATGTTTACCTCATTGTTCCTGTCTCGAGGATGGTGAAGTTTTTATGGAGTCACGACTTCTAAACCAGGACAAACCAATGGATACCTCGTCCTGCTGGAATAAGAACCGTGTAGGTGTAGCAGGACATCGAAATGAGATGGTGAATTGAGGAAATAAGGAGCATCGATCACTCACCATTAAGTAACCCTTCTAGCTATAGCAGACTGATACTGGCCAGTTAGGTATGTTGTAATTGGATATGTTATGGGTGATCCAGCTACATCAAGTGACCACCAGAGAATATCTGGTAAGTGGTGAGATTATGTACAAGTGTTTTTCCTTGATGGATATATCCATGTGTTTACCTGCCCCCCTTCATTCAGTTACACAAATAACCCGCACCCGGTCCAAGTCGGACCGAAACGTCGTCGTAAGCTTCTCTCTTTTATGTGCGGGTTATTTGTGTATCGTTCCAGTCACAGTATTGTGCCTTTTTGTTATTCATTCAGTTATACTAATGTAGTCTGTAGAGTCCACAATTAATTATTAGCACCGTACTTGTGGGTGCTATCCAATCTATACTGGTCCTGGATAGATATGGATAAGATTGTGATGTCGAAGGAACCACCTGCCATGACCAGGGGTGGTTAAGTTTTCTCACATGTCTACACGGGGTGACTATGGTAAACAATATGGTTGTCTCCCAATGAGATTACTTGTATGTATGCAATGTTGAGGTACATACAGGTAACACCCTACAAAATTTTCCATATCTGCCCACTGGTCCTTCGAACCGGATGCAATCAGTGAAAAAATTAATTAAATTAATTACTTAATAATTAAGTGACTGATTGAAGGAAGTGGGTATAGGGTACACAAATTTAATCGATCATGTGGTGGATGATAATTAGCCCAATTAATTGCTAGCACATGTGTGGCTAGGATTTATACAAGAGTAAAGTGCAAGAATTACTCTTATAAGGCGCCTACTTAAGTTGTATAATCAGTGATTAATAATTCTCTAACCAAGACTGGATCTGATGTAGTTAATGTGGCTGACAAGTCCGTGAATTTTAGAGTAATGAAAGCTTCATTACAGGCTATTAAAGGCCATGTGACGAAGGCATATAAGTGCTTGAATTTAATGAATCAAAGAACCGTGAACCCTAATGAATTAAAGTTATATTTAGATGCTTTAGAGAGTAGATTTTAGTGGTACAAATTGTGGTTTAAAAACTGTGAAAGAGATCTGCTGGAGAATTGTGCAGATGGAATAGAAATGAATGTTTTAATTAATCAACATTACGAATTGGAAGAAAAACTGTCTTGTAAAAGTAAGGCTTTGAATAAATTAAAGGGTGTAAGCCAGGCAGTTGATCAACCTATTAATGCAAAGGGTGGGTTTGCCAAAACCTCCAGAGTACGGTCTGGAGGAAATCAGACTAGGTGGGCAGGAATTAATTGTTCAATTGCAGACCAGTCAGCCAAACAGTTCTAAGGATATAACACATAATGACTGAAGTATCTCTCAAGTCTCAAAAGGTAAAAATAATCCCAGTGGTAATAATCATAGTTAAGAGTTAAATAGGCACATATCAAGTCAGGAATCAGTAATAGTGGTTCCTCACATCAAGGTAAGAGGAATAAGTACCTCAGTAAGGGTAACCCAGTTAATAAGAGGTCAGGCAAGGAAGAGACTGCCTCTTCTGCAAGGGTACTCATTTCACTAAAAATTGTAATGCCTATAATTCATGGGATATTAAAGTGGAGAGGATGAAAGAACTTGACAGATTTATCAGATGTCTAGACAATCATAATGTAAAGGATTGTCATACCAAATTGAACAGTTGCTATCAATGCAACAAGGGAAGGCACCATACAGTTATGTGCAGGGTTGTATGTGATTCTTATAATAATGGTGACAATAATGATAATGTTAATAACCCTGACACTACAGTGACTGATGTAAAGGTTGCACCTAATGGCAATAATGATGGCCTAGCTGAGGTAGCCTTGCCGGTGTTGGATGTAATAATTCAGGATAAAGGGCATAAATCCAAAACCATGTGGCATCACTCTCCTCAACACTGGTACGGGCCATGTAATACATGGCAGACTACCGCCTAGTAATAATGACTAGAGGAAGTAGTAAATACAGTCACGGTGTCTTACTCATAAAGGGTCAACCCAGTACAAGTATTCTTCTATCGAGGATGATGTTGAACCAGTCTAATTTGTGGGAGCTGGACAGCATAGAGATTAATATAAATGAGGAAAGTCCAAATGATTCCTTTACTCAGGAACAATACCTGAAGGATGTTAAATTTGAATCTGGACATTACTGGGTGCGACTTCCGTGGAAGCTAAACCGTCCAGAATTATCTACTAATTATAGGATGGCGTATGGACAGTTCAAGGGCCCAGCTCTGCAAACTGAGCAAGACACCAAAATTGTTGACTGCTTATAATGATATAATTAATAAACAGTTAAATAATAAATTGTTCTTACTTCAGGCGACGATAAATGCACATCTTAAGTGCACAGGTGGTCCACTGAGCGAAGTAATTGGGTAAATAATCTTATGTGGACAATTTCCGGGTGTGACGTCAACTGAAGAGGAACTAATGAGGGTATGTGAAGGGGTTAATGAAATAATGCAAGGTGCAAGGATGCCCCTGAGGGAATGGAACAGTAATTAGTCTATTTTGAGGGATCAATAAATATGGATAGCCCAGGAGTTGAAGTGCCTATATGCAGTAATGTGCTGGGGCTGACTTGGGACACTGAGAGAGACTTCTCATTGTTAAAGTCTCATAATTCCAGTATGCCCAATAAATTAACCCAGAGAGCATAGGCTTAGTGTCACACCTTACAATAAGAGGGAAATTGTTAATACCAGGAACATGGAGGCTTGAGTGTGCTTTGGACAGAGCCCTACCTGAGGAGTTAACAGGTGGAAAGAATTAATGGGTGATTATGTAAATACCAATGTTGGAGTTCCCAAGCCAGGTGGCCAGTGAAGATGGGAAGATTGTACTCCACATTATTTAAGTCACCTAACAACGACCTCCTGCCG